CTCCCTCGTGACAAGGGAGGATGGAGTTGGCTTCCTGGCCAATCAGTAAGCCGGGCGCCACTTCATTACATCCCAGATAGCAAGAAATTGTGCTGCAAGGGTGAAAATGACTTGCTAAACTATTGCATTGCAAGTCCCCAGATCCACGTGCTTTGCAAAAGTGCTTTAGGCCTTGTTCACACCAAATGCAGACCAGATCCGGTCAGGTTTCTGCACACACAGTGCAGCGGGTTGTGCCGCGTTTTAGACAAGTTTTGGATGCGTTTAGGGCCGGTTTTGGTTAAAAAAAAAAAAAGATTTTTAACATGGGCTTTCAGGCACTTGCATGCGTTTTTGATGCGTTTTAGATGCGTTCCAGACCAGGTAAAATAGGGCTTGCCGCATTTGTTTCATCCGGTCTGGATCTGGTCTGGATCCACACGCTGCGATGTGAACTGGAGGTCAAAATACCATACGAATACATTGGACGCAGTTTTGATCCGGTCTGCGCCTGCTCTGGTCCAGATCTGCTCCGCGCTTGGTGTGAACAAGGCCTTACACTTGCAGAGCTCTTGCTAAAACCTGCAGTGCTCTTGCTGTAGACTTGCCAAGCAAATTTGCTACAAATTCAAAAAGTGTCACCTAGAGCTTGTGCTGCCAGTGTTCTGCAAGTCTACAACTTGCCAGGAATGTGTGCGGCAAGTTAACAAGAATTACAATTTCACCCTGCCACAAGTTTGTAGCAAGTTATCCTCGCTATCTGGGATGTCACCCGGCTTCCTGATTGACCAGAAAGCAGACGCCATTGCACGGCACCCGGCTTCCTGATTGACTCTATGCTTTCTCGTCACTTAGTGACGAGAAGCATGGAGACGGCTTCCATGCTATATCGGGTGATGAGTCTTTACATGCTTCCCAGCTCATCAGGAGGCCAGGTGGCGAATCATTACACGCCGCCTGGCTTCCTTAATGGGACTTTTGGTATCGGCGAGTACCAGAAAAAAAAATATTGGTTCTGGTTACTGAAAAGCCGGTCTTGGTGCACCCCTAGTACATATACCACGGCATTGCAAGGGTTTATGTGCTCTTTTTTTAGACTGGGGAAAAAAAATAACAAAAACATACTCGCCCATCCCTCAGAGCCACCTAGCTGTTAGAGTGGTCCCTGCAACTTTTCTCCTCCTCCGCTGCAGCAATGGCAAGTCCGTCGGTGTCCTTAAATCCTATACACCGGGGATAGGACGGGATGAATAGACCGCTGGAGCAGAGGGGGAGCGGGGCTGGAAAGACTGGTCTAAGAGGCGGCCGGCTCTGAGGACCAGGTGAGTATAACTTTATTTTTGTCCCTAGACAAAGAAGAGAGCTTAACCCTTCCAGTGAAGGGATAGCCCCACCCACACGGGTTGAGACAAATTTTGCTGGGAGTTCTTCTTTGAAGTGTATTTTCCACAAGCAGGGCTCTTGCAGTCTTCACCAGGGGTGCATTTAAGGGTGACAATATGAGACAGTTGTCGCCCTATAACAGGAAGTGCCTGACATGGCAGGATCGCTGGATATTCTATTTGGGCCACATTAGGACCTGTGAGTAGTGACCATGGTAAAAAAAAAAAATGCTTTCTTACTGTGGGCTATTGTAACTCAGGATCAATGGTACATTGCAGAGCCATTCAGAGAGATTCACTCTCACTGAAAAAAGATTTCCTCCACTACCTGTTGATTCTACAGGACAGGAAGTGGAAAAAAAGCTCCCTAAGGAGACACCCCCGCACTTTGGGGTTTTCCGGTCAGGAGTGTGATGGCATCTACCATTTTCTCATTTGCGCGCATTAAAAACGTGCAGAAGCGCTGAAGCCAAAATGCATGTTGCAAAATTTGCTACATTTGAGTTTTTTTGTTGTTGCTGCTTTTGCCATTCAGGACCCTATTGAACTCCAATGGGGACACTCGGCAAACGCAGCACATGAATGTGACGTGCATTCCCGAAACACGCAGGTGTGAATGCGGGCTAAGGGCTAAATGCTTGCTTAGTCTAGGGCTAGAGAAAAACGTGTAAGGGGCTCCTTCCAGTGTTAATTTTGACACCAAATCTCATTTTAGTCAATTAATGAAAATTTATTTTTAGTCGCATTTGTAGTCATCAGATTTGGTCGACTAAAATCTGATAGGTTTATTGGTTGTTCACAGCTCCCTACTACAGGAAGTGCTCAGGGAACCACAAGACAAATGCACTAGTCTGGGAACTAATTTTCGGCAGTTTTTGTCCCGTTAACTGCTCTAGTGTTTCGTTTTGGTCAGAGAAAAACATCCAAATGACGAAAACAAATTTGATGCTGTGCTTTTATTGCAACAAGCTGCACTGAAGAAAAAAAAATTGCACACCGCGCTTTTTTTCCAGGGCGCAACACTACCGTGTAAACTGACCTCATTTTTATGCCTTGTCTAGCCATTGGGTCTTCACTGGGCAAGGCTGCCAGCGCAGTCCCAACACATCTGGGGTAATACTTACCAAAGAGCTTGTTCACACCAGTTACAGTGCGTTTCAGCGCGGTTAGATGCTGGAACCCACTGTATCGCATACTAAACTGTGGTGCATTCAAATCAATAGCAACACAACACCCCTCCC